GAAGGCGCTGGCCAACTTATGGCAACAGACTGCACCTGCTGTAATGCTCTATATGAATTCCACATCTTCCGCTTGAATTTGGTTTCAAAATTTCAATCTTTATTCTACTCTTTTTTCCAAATTGAGCCCCAAAAGACAAATCAAAACCGGCGCACGAAAATGGTTAATGGTTTTAAAAACTGACAAGCTTGTGGCAACATTGAAGCCGCCAAAAACATTTCTTTTACCATTAGCAGTTGAGCAGTTGTCCGGTCAATACTGCTGTATGACGGAAAGACGGAGGGCATAACGTTTCAATGAGTGCATGAGGAACACTGTCAAAATCATGTTGAACGAGTCTAATAAGACTGCTGGGCCAGGACATTAAAAGTACTAGATACTGTCAGTCACGCACTCAAGTAAGCGTCTGAGGATGTTTATTATGCTACCCAATAGGCTTTCCGAGATTGATAATGAGTCAAAGGACGCTAGGGGTAGTAGTAGTCCGAATGTGGAATAGCAATATGAAAAACCGAAATACCTTACCTTATACCTTATCATGTAATTCATAATTTGGAACCTCGTAACTAGCATAAATAATATCACTCAGTGTTGTAAACAATGAAAAACGTGCAATCACACTGACTTCTACTCGGATCTAGTTCATTTGTTCTTTTTTCCTATTTTGATAGTACTCTCAGCTTTAAACTATCTCTTCGTCACAACGAGGACGTAGTCAGATGGATTGCGCGTCACCGAAGGTAATCAAGCTACACACAATCTCCTTTGCAAGCCAAAGGTTCAATCATCATCCTTGTAGCCGTAGTCCAGAATTCTTTGTTGTAATCTTGACACTACTTTCATCCAAATAACCATCAGAAAGATGATAACCAAAACCACCGCACAGAAGAGCATGGTTAATGGTTGTAAAGAGCGAGCTAAAGTTTAAAAGTCAAATGATACAAGTCAGAAACAGTCCAGTCTCCCGACCCCATATATAATTTGGGGGGAAGAGTAGACTCAAGTGGGCGTTCAACTGGGTAAAAGTGATGGCACTTTAATCGATCCATGTAAGTAGACCTTTATCTTATTTTAGTCACTTTCTTGTGGTTGTTTTTGGTTTTGTTGGTTGAGAACCCTGATGGTTCTTCTGCTCGAAGGTTGCACTCCCCAACGGTATGGATCCGTCGAACGCAACATTCGAGCCTTCCAAGATTTTTCTGGGCGATAGAGGTTAAAACCAAATAGTTTACTCAAATGCAGTAACCAAAAAGATGGAATCATAGCTGAAGGTTGATGGTTATGGAAACTGAAGTTTGAAGGATAAGTCATCTAACAAGTCATTTGATAAGTTATTTTGTACGCTGGACCTTAAAGTCAATCGAAATCTTGATTACTTGATACTTTGTTGGTTGTTGAATTTAGCGGTTGTTTTATTTACATGTAAAGCTCAGTTGTTTGTGGTTTGGCTGGCGAACACCAAGTTATGGATGGGTAGTACTTTCGAACGTTACCAAGTAAGATGCCAGTTGGTATTTGAAGGTTTTTCGTGCACCAAACACACATTCCTGCAATAGTTTTCTTAAACTGTGATCAGTGAACGGTCCACTGATTTATAAAAGACGTATGAAGAATTCACTGAGAAAAGAAAAATTGTGTTTAAGTTCAACCAATGAAAGATGACAACAACCCATGCTTGGTTCTCGAGGTAATCCGTTCAGTCGTCTCATTCAAATAATAACTTCAAACTGAAGAGCGTCATTTATATAATAGAAATGCATATTGACAATCAAATAAAGCATAAGATTGCTTTATTGTACATCAGTGCATCATGAACCACATAGAAAGTAAACCTTGTTTGTAGTCACAATGACCGATGGTTCACTTACGCGAACAGGAAGTCGAATCTTCGGACCGATTGCGGCGAACCAAATAAGGCACTGATAACACAGGCTCGATATTGAGCCAGACCAGAGCAAAGCTGCTTGTCATCAAAATAGGGACATGGTTCCAGGGTTCGAACCTTGAACCTCAGGACAAACTGCACGCCAGTGATGGTGGCTTCAACCGTTTAACTACCCACCAACCAAGTCAAGAGCACTAAGGCTAGGACTTTGTCTTAGCATATTAGGCTTTTGAAGTGACTTAAGTATGAGTGAAACGTCGCCACANATATATATATATATATATATATATATATATATATATATATATACATATATATATGTATATATGTTCTGCACAATTTTCAGAGTTAATGTTCTGGAGTACTTTTTCCAATATCCTGTTCTTTCATTATGCACTTGTGTATCATCGATATCATTTCAATAGTGAAACCGGGCGTGCTTCCCGGGAACTTTCATGTAATTATTCAGATATCACTTGACTACCTAAGCACATTGTAGATCTTTGTTCGATCATAAATGTTTAGTGCAACCGCGTTACAGGGTTGAGAATTCATCTCATAAAATTATGGTAAAGTG